TGAATGTTTACCGGAATGAAATACAGTAAACACATCAGACAGACAAACCACCTAATAGAGTCAATTATTTTTTTGTAGTATCACAAACTCTTAAAGAAGCATTTGATGATGTAATGTTTATGTAGAATGTTCTGCATAACTTCAAAGATGAGCAAAGCTCTTTTTCTGGAAATTGTATGAGATCTCAGGGCATAAAGGTGTATCAAATATCTTTGTTCTACGCCGGGTAGATATTTTAAAATTATGAACAATCAAAAGTATTGTTTTATTTCAACCAGGAACATAGAAGTTCGTACCAATATTCTAAGAGAATCATTACCTTGTATAAAATGATTTATCACAAAGGCTTACATTCCATGCAGGAAAATGCCACAAAATATACATATACAATAACATAAAAAATGTTCTTGAAACAAATAGTCAACTGGTTGAAAATGCTTTCTAAATCCCCAGATTTAAATTCAATAGACAATTTCTGACACCTGCTCAAACATCATCTATAAAAACATGTTAAACTGAAGACAAAGCTGGAATTAGACATTGATATTTAGTTTTTTTGGGGAGTGTTACATAGAAAATTTATAATAGAAGTTGCATACTGACATTCAAATATTTTTGGAGAGTGATTACGCATAAAATGTATGGTATATATGCACTTGTGGTAGGCACGCATACCATGTATTTCCTACGTTCTTATTTTAATGTCTATTCTAGGTAACTGCAGCATTTCTCTAACAAATGGTCAAGAAAGTTAAGTGATTTCATTCTAGCTACATTTGGTTTATTTATTACCAATGAAATAACACATTTTACCCATGGGAGGTATAGCTGAAGAGCTGCACCTTATGCATGACAGTCGACAGCAATGCCCTCCAGTGATAGATCAGGTGATATCTCGAGGTTAGAACCTCCCTTATATTTGAATGGAATCACCAGTAACATGAATAGCACTAGTTGCTCTTGTTTAAGTCTGGCATTACTGATTCAACTATGTAATGTGAGACTTAGATAGTGTGAAGATCATTTTGAGTGAATCAGTCAGTTTGGAAGTAAGTATTAAAGGAGTACAGATAGCCTGATCAATTCATAACTCCAGCAAAGGCAACAGTCCAGCATTCAACACAAGTACATATATTGTGTGTGTGAAATTAATAAAAATTGCTTTTCATCATGCATTGTCCATTTATTTCATAGCACTGATTCAGTTTGCTTAAACAGAACTCAGTATACTTTGCAATTTATGTTACCAAATATCCTGTTATAAAGCGAACCTACCTAATTTAATCTACTGAGAAATCAGTTCACTTGAAAATTCTACAACATTATCACTTGTATGAAGTGATGTAATTGCCACTTGCAGGTAATCAACTAAATCATCTCCCTTGAAACAGATAACATAGTAGCAGAAACCAAGCTGGCCAGTGTGAATAGCAATAAGCAGAACTTTACAATTTGATGAACTGACTCTGACTAAAAACAATGAAAAAGACAAAGAGGATAGTAAGCATAGATAAAAAAAATTCTACAAGAATCCACAAGAATGTTCAAAACACCAAAAGTGGAGAGAAAATGTAGCAAAAAAAAGGATATGGAATAATATTCCTCCCAGAATGTTGATATATATATATATATATATATATATATATATAACTACTCTAAAATTGTATGAACTGAAAACACAATGGTGATATAGTAAGAGAAAGAACTCATGAGAAGCACACTGAACTGCCCAAAGATTCAAATGATCAATGTGAGATTATGATCCTTGAGGAGATCAGGAATCTGAAAGATGATGTTCTTCCATGACAGTGTTCTAGCTGTTAAGAAATGCATCTGTGAAGACCTGTATGAAGTGGAAGAGAGAGAAATTCCCTGATATAATGAGTGTGAAGAGAGATGTCACTGGCAAGCAAGATCCCATTGCAAATGTTTCATGTGAGTGCACTTAAAGGGAATGACTGTGTGAAATAAAGCCATTATCCCTAAGGCAGAATGGATGTCTTTGACAGTGGGTGTGAAAGACAGAAGAATATGAACACAAGATTCCAAGGCTTGCAATACAAGCATATAGTTGAAGTGTTCCAACTGTGTTGATCCAAATTCCCAGATGTACCAATATTCAATTAGTACTAAATTAGGATTAGAGTTGGATGAGCTACCCAAGAAATGTATAGAGCCAAAGCTCCCTTTCCCATGGCAAAAAAAATAAAAGAAATGAAGCATGAGGGATGAACAGGAATATAAAGATAAGCAATCCTGTATTTCCACTGATGTCACCCAATGGCTGCAACTAAGAAACTTTTATATTCCATTTTAAAATGTGGAGTCTTCAAGAAAAGATGAATAAGGACAAGTCCCTGAATTAAAGACATTTTTAGAACTACAGAGAAGAGAGTAAAATCAATATAGATTGCACATTCCTTTAGGATATTTGAGACTTTATGGTCTAGAATGTAGGAATGACCTGATTAGATGAAATATTAGGTCCCATAGGTGAACCAATGATCAAAGAAGACTTTCCCCAACAGTCTAGATGGGAAAGTTATCCAGAGCAGAAGTACACTTGACCACATAGTAGGGGGAAACGAAACAAATATAAATTTCTAACATCAAAGAGAAGTAGACTAGGGATGCAAGGGAAAAGAAAACACATTAGTTGGTAGTTGTTTTGAAAGGAACAACTGCCAGAAATAGGTCTAAATGCTAAAACCCTAATCAGCTCCAGAATGGGAGACAAGCAATGGTGAAAGATTCTGCAAGGATAAAAGATGTAGAGAAGAAGCTGAAAAACTCAAGGGAGTATGAAAGACAAGAGTATCTGCAAATGCAGCATGATGGTGTAAGGTGTAAAGGGAACATAAGAGCCACATGGTAAGAGAAGCAACATCATTAAGAACTGCAACTAACGAAAACTGAAAGGTAAAAATGTGATCCTCACTAAAAGAATTATGAGAACAAGATTTTCTTATAGTTTCTAATTATTTTGAAAATTAAAGTCTCAAAATAAAACAAGTCATAACATGCAGGACAGAAAACTGGCAATGGTCAAGAAAGAAGACCATGAACTGAGGGTCAAGAACTCGAAAAGTAATATGAGAAGAAGAAAGTGACCTCACTGATAGGATTATTAACAATTAGATGATTTCTAAAAGTATCAGCAATGGCCTGAAAATCAGAAGGTGGAAAATATAAAGATTCAAGAATTGAATCATCCAACATGATTTTAGCTACTTCAGGCTTAAAAGAAATTAGTTCAAGATTTAAATAGAAAATATGTGAAAAAAAGACAAATTAAGATTAGAAAAAAGCCTTTTCAGAATTAGGACTGGCTGGTTGTCAAATCCTGTCTGAGCAAAATATTAGCTTTTTATCATCATCGACATCATTTTATTAATCGTTTCATAATTAGAGTAAAATGGTAGACATCTTTAATCTGTATAGATCTTTATGGTTTGAACATACAAATATTTCACATACCATTCCTAAAAGCAATCAATTCTTGTATTTATGAAACACCAAACAATGTCAAAATGTAGCTGTGATAAATATCATTCCACCACAAATGTATAATGGCTGTGGTTCTCATGTGACTTGCTGATTTACATATTCAAAATAGTTTTAATATAATGTGCTAAACCCTCTGTAGTATCTTCCCAGTTCAGTAAATGTGTTTCAGGTTAACCCGTCTCATACTTACTGTGTTTATCTGTATGTGCTTAAGATTTGAATAAAATGTAGTGAAACAAGGTTAAATGGCATTTTAAACATCAAAAAATATTTTAAACCTCTCTTCCTCCTGTAGGTGATACATGTAGATCACAAGAACAGAAACATATATACAACATTCATATACCATTTGAAGCCTATCTCCAAATTGCAATTGGCAAACAACTTTGACCTTTTATTACCATGAGAAAATCTGGACATCTGTTGGTGCCAGAAACCTTTTGGTGTATTAATATGCATGATAAGATACTATAATAATTATTTATGTTTTTGAAAAGATAAACAAAGGTCTTGTATATGTTAAGCAAGTACACCATAATTAATACAACATGAAAGTTGCTGTGAAAGTTTTCTTCTTAGCCCATTCCCTTCCATCACTACACACAGCCAGTCTCTGTATGTATCTGTACCCATCATTTCACAGTAAATTGATTAAATATAATATTTCTAGCAATCTGCTTTGTTGAAAGTCCCTCTCTGCTCAAACAAACAATGGCTTTGTTTGTCTGTGAAGTTAACTCACAACCCTTGACCATGGTAACATCACATGCACATTGTATCAGATAGGCTTCTAAACTGATTCTCAATAAGAACCTCTATTTATAGCCAAACAAGGCCTAATGCAATACTCAGACAGCCTATAAAGCCATTGATGTAATAATTAGACATTAGTGCACTATCCATAAAACAAACTTGCACCTACATGCATTAGAGTTTCTAAACAGACAATGATGATTCCAAAGAAAAGTGTGTGAAAATTGAGTGATGCAATAAATTTTTCTAGAACTGTATATCTCGTGTATTTTTTATATTTTAACAAATCAACTCTCTTAAGTTGCAATTAAATTGTGTATTTCTTCTATGCTTGTAAATCTATCAACCACAAATTTATTGCTTTATGCAAACTACAACATATCTTATCCAGAAACTCATAGAGAGAAATTTCCTGTCGGCATTGTAACCTTCTGTTCGATTTTCATGAAATTTAATATGAAAACATATTTGTTTTGTAATATGTAAAGCATAATTCACTGAAAAAACCTAAAGTCTGAAAAATGTGTTTACCACCTGTATGTCACATAACTTAAAGGTATTTTTCATAAAACAATTATTTCTGTCTCAAAACACTCAAAAACCCCCCATCTTAAATTTTCTGGATAGAAGCCTACAATTGTTTACTAGAAAAGTTTTACAAACTTTTTAACCTCTTATTTTTACTAATGCTTACCTACTTAATGATACAAATCTTATGAACATAAAAGTTTTATATTTACCATGAAAGAAAAGAATAGGGCAGAACTGGACAGTAAATGCCAGATGTCATGATCATCATAAAAATGTAACAGAAGGCAGTTTCGATTGTGTTCTCTGGACTGGGCAGGAGTTCCCTATAGGGAAAATATTTAATAATACCCCTTGAGCCAATTACACCACATTAATAACATAAAAATCATGAATAAGTGTGTGTTTTACTTCATTATTACCATAATCATCTCAAATACATTAACAATAATCCAATAAGGTGACAGAATCTTTTATAAAATTTCTAATCATCGAATAATTTACATTTGAAATCTGATAAAAATTAGTGATAAACTAACAAACCAATTATAATGAAACCATAAGGAACTGTAATCACTTTTGAAATACAATCTCTTATTGATGGTTCATACAGTTTTCATCAAAATGCATTACAACTTTTGTGGAATAAAGAAATTCTTAATTAATAAAATCCTAAAAGCTTTATAAAATCTGGACCATTCCAAAATTGTTTCATTTAGCTTGCTCTTTGTCAGTTACAGTATCACTTAATATATTCTATTAAACTTGCAAATACATCAGTGTAACATAAGGCAGTTAATGAGAACCATCTAAAAAACTAATATTATGACATTTATCTGATTCAAACTAACTACAAGTTGAGTTGTAGGTGTCAGAGTACATCAACATTGACTTATGAAATAACATTCTCTTAAAATGAACAAGGTCATTGAACTCAGTAAAGAAAATATTTTTTTCCTAACGTATTTTCACCATTTAGTTTTTTACAATATGTGCATTCCAACTACACACTCACAGCCATTAATGAACTGTATTTAAAACCTGATAAACATAATAATTACCTCTGAGAGATAAAAATAATGACTAAAACAAAAAGTATGATTAACAATGTCTTTGCTCAATAAAAAGTGTACAAAATAATTTAAAAATAATTTACTGTTTTACTGCCTGATTACCTAAGACATAAAAAACTGCTACATTCTACCTTACTCCTTCTTACATTTCCAGATCATGTAGTGTATATCAAACTGTGATATGCATTATACTGTACATTACAAAATGGCCTTATGAAAAGATTGTAAAAGGTTCAGTCATTTCTTTGACTCCTTTTCTATGCATAAACTGTTTAATTTAGTTACAAGTATCTCACTGTTAATACAATTTCTGACAAAAAATGTTATCATTAACTCTAGACTTATTATAATTATCACTGACCAATTGACTGTATGCCTGTGCTATTCATAATATTACTGAAGTACTAACATATACCCGCAAAGTAAATTTTCATTCATTTACAAAGGATTGGCAAAAAGAAAAAATATCACATAAACTTAACATATATGTATTCACAATATGTTATTTATGCAGAGATTGAATATATTATATTAAAACAATTTTTCAGTCCATATCACCAAATCTGGTTATGCTATATCTAATGGCTATGTATCTTAAAAACAGTCCTACAGTAAAAATATAAATGCAAAAGGCTCTAATGTAGGTTCTCATATCAAAAACACACTACTGTTCTCTCTCTAATCCATCTTGTGCATGAAGATGACGGTTTCCCTGTGTATTTTTAACAGTCCAATAACAGAAATCCACAGTTGCTGTGATACGTCTTGATATGCAATAGCATGAATTCCTGTTTCATTCTCTAGCTGCTTGAGGTATGTAACAGTTATACAGATGAATAAATAAGTAGAAAAATGTGAAGGTGTTTAAATAAAATTACTTTTAGAAAAAAACACACCTTTAAATCACTATGGTAGTGATTTAAAGATGATTTTTCTGTAAAAGCTATACAGACGTGTCATGGAAGCAGCTACTTGATTATGTTGGGTGCTGTTGCTCAAGACAGATTGATGGCATTTGCTATTGAGCTTTGTGGATTCTCACCTGTTACAAAATACTGCAATTTGCTTACAACTAGAGCAAACTTTGTTGCAGGTCTCTTTCTGAATGGTTCTGGGTCCCCAAGTTCATCCATATTTAATTTGTTTCCAGTGACATTAAGTACAAGGAATATTACTGTCATGGAAATTCAAAATCCTTAATCTGAACAAGTCTTTACAATCTAAGTGTATGAATAGTTTGTGTTTGAAAGAGCTATCACATACCCTTCCCAAAAGTGATCAATTTTCAGTGACATCATATTACCTACATAATGCCAATAATGTCAACATGTAGTTCTGATACATTCTGTTCCACCACAACTTTATATTGGCTGTGGCTGTCAAGTGACTTGCTGATTTGCATATTCATAACAAATTGAAATGTAATGTACTCAATCACTGGTATATATTAAGCAAATCATATTAAGCATCAAACAATTTACAACTAATTTTAAATTAAAAAAAGTTAGCCAACAAGCAAATCTATAATCAAATGTTTATTAAGGGTTACTGCCTTCCCACAACTGGCTGCAGACAGCAAAAGGTAGTAGGAATTGAGACATATTGGGTTTAAGACTGTCAGGGTTTTATTACGTATATGGACTTGGATTATTCTACAGTAATTGAATCAGTCTGTGTGAATTTTTGACAAGAAATGAGAATTATTTACAGTTTTAGATGATATCCTATAGCATAAAGAATTTTTGTAAAAATATTTGACTTGTTTTGAATATATTATCATAAAACAAGTGGATTGTGTGCTGTCTGTTTATTGTTCAAACTTATCGTCAACAAGTCACAGGCACCTACTGTAGAAGAATCCCACCCACTTATATACATAAAACCCTGACATTTGGCAAACCAGCCATGATTATACAGTGGTAAATGGTGGTGAAAGAAGACATGAATGACAGCGAGAATAAATAGGCCTATATAAGTACTGTAATGATGGCAAAAATAGTGCAGAGATTACAATCACACTATATAACCATGTCAACAGATTTTCATAATTGGATAGAAACAAGTGAGCATCTTGGTTAAATGTCAGTGAACTATGAGAGTTTGTTAAACAACAAGAACTAGAGAGAGAAGAGCAGCAACAGAAAAAAGAAAAGGAGAAACAGAGAAGAGAGGAAGAAAGATTAAAAGAAGAAAAGAAAGAGAAAGACTGAAAGAATGTAAAGGAGAGACTGCAAATTGAGAAAGAATATGAGCCAAATTGAGAAAGAGAGAGAGGAGAGATTGGAAATAGAAAGAATAAGAGCACAAACTGAGATTGTCAAGCTCACCCAACAGAAAGAAGAAGGACCCAAGAATGACAATGGGGTCAGGGCCAGCCAACCCAAGCTGCCCAAATTTGATGAACAGAAAGATGACATGGATGCTTTCTTGGAGAGATATGAAAGAATTGCCCAAAGTCAAACTGGGACAAGGTGACTGGGCAGTCTGTCTTGGCCCACTTCTCACAGGAAAAGGCCTACAAGTAATATGCAGGCATGTATTTCAGTTCATGGCACTTCACCAGATGGACTGACATGACCAAATGTGAAAATAGTTTTGAGGGACTGGCAGGTATACTGATACATGAACAGTTCATGATCATGTGCTCAACTGACATGTCACTGTTCTTAAAGGAGAGAGCACCAAAAGACGTGGAAGAGATGATCAAGCTGGCAGAACAGTATATGGAAGCCCATGGAGGGAGTATAACTAGTAAGTCCAAGAATATCCAGAAAAGTCAAAACCATTGAAGGCTGACCAGGAACGGGAGTCTAACAAAGGTGACAAGAGGTTAACAGACAAATGTCAGAAGAGATGCTATATTTTTTATAAAATAGGGCATATTACAAAGAAGTGCAAGTCCATCACCAATAAGCAACAGCAGAAATCTTAATATAAAGCAGCTGGAGCTACTTACAAAGATAGCACTTGTAAGAAACAAGAAAAGAGTAACTGACACTATGGATGCAGCTGCCAGAAGAAACTGAATCAAGGAAACACGTCAGATTCACCACAAGAAGGAACTGCCATTTCCATGATTGATCAGTGCATGACTAATGGTTGGCTAAATTTAGCAAATGGTTCAACAGCACCAATAGTGATCAAAGCATGTTACAAATATCAAGATGTGCCTACAAATTACAATATGCCAATACGTGAAGGCTCTGTCAGAGAGAAGAAAGTGAAAGTTCTATGAGACACTGGGAGCAGTAGTGTAGCAATGAGAACCACTTTAGTATCTGATAACCCGTAGGGTGAATTTATGTATGTTTTATCTTCTTCAAAGCATAGGGGTTTTATTTAGTGTTTTCAATTAATGTTTAAATGTATTAAGAGCTCTTACTATATGTATTTGTTTGCAAGCTCACAGAGAGAGGAGATAAAAGAAGAAAATAATAATTAAGTAACTGATTAAATAACAGAGAGACAATATAAGTAATACATAAAAATATTACCAGTCATTGCTAACAGTTAAAATATGAGCTGCAACAACTGGCATCAGTCAAGAGACAGACATGCAGTGCAAGAGAAAATACTGACTATGCTGTTAAAATGTTGTAATTTAATTTACCTCATATACAACTTGCCCCAAGCTTGTACAAACACTTCTCAGTTACATGTTTAATTATCAAAAGTTGACCAGGAGGAATTTTGATGTTGTATCCCCTAATTGTGAGATTTTTCAACATATTTTTGAAAATTTATTGTGTGTAACCCAATGAAGGGTTAGCTGAGTTTTTCTTTGAATAACCCCTTAATGTGGTTGTCACAAATACTGCTGTCCACTGCAGCTCCAAGTAAAGTATTCAAACCACATCATCATACATTCATAGTTATACAACCTTGCTTTTGATCTATAATAATAAAGAATAGTAGGGCAAATCATTATATTATAAACTAAATGTGATAGTTGTCCAAGCTAAAAGTTTTATGTTATTATGAGATTTGTGAGAGAAGCATAGGGTTATGTTTCCAGAGGTTCTTGTGACTTGACTTTCTCATTAAAAGTTCCCTTTAAGATTTGGCTATCCTTGTAACCACCATGAATTACCAATTTTTCCTTTCTAGAGTGATGGCAGATTGTAACTCAAAACTACACTTGTTTATTGCCTTTTGAGCCATGTATTATTAAAACACTCGAGTGCTCAGCCAAATCTACTGTATTTAATTACATAATTCTCAGGCTTGTGCACGAGCGTGCACATGTTCAGTGT